AAAAAAAAAAAAAAAAAATTCTCCGCAATTTTTTAAAAGGCTGGACCTTAGCCCATCTAGGTCTAACTTTTTCACTTCATAGATGAAGCATGGAAACCCAGACAGATTAAAATGACTTGCCCAGGCTGGGTGTGGTGGCTCACGCCTGTGATCCTACCACTCTGGGACGCTGAGGCGGGAGGATCACTTGAGCTCAGGAGTTCAAGACCAGCCTGGACAACATAGCAAGACAGGTCTCAAAAAAAAAAAAAAAGCTATAAGGAAAATAAAGGGTTATAGGACCCTGGTGGGAGGTCAAGGGGGATTGGGATTTTTAGATAAAGTGGTCAAGGGAACCCCTCTTATGGGAAACATTTGAGCAGATCCCTGTAAAAAGAGAGCGAGCCATGGGCTATTTGGGGAAAAGCAGCATAGACCGGGGAACTCAATGAGTGGGCTCACTCCTTGTTTTGTGTCTTTTGTCACGGAAAAAAAGACCAAACTCTGTAAACTAATTTTAAAGAGATTTACTCTGAGCCCAATTTGAGGACCATGACCCAGAGCCATGCCCAAGAGATCTTGAGCAGTGGACTCACTGAGCTCACATCTCGAAGGGGGGGGGGGCTTACAGGTTATAGGTGGGTTAAAAGATTCTTTGGCCTGTAATTGGTTAAAGACATGAAGCTTTGTCTAGAGACTTGGAATGTTTTAACATAAGGAGCTCTTTATCAGAGATAAGCCACTGGACATAGATTTGTTGTGTAAATTGAGGACCTGCAGGTTCGTCTTGCATACCCTTAGGCCTGTTAATGGGTTACAAAGGATGTCACCAAGAAGGGAGGGGGCACGATAAGGCATTTCTGACCTCCTTCCTCCAGGCAGGCAGTTTAGTTTTACGGTATTCCTTTGGCCACGTGGGGTTCCATTTAGTCAGCCGGTGGGGGGGGTGAGCCTTAAAATTTTATTTTAGTTCACACTTTCATAGCTCGCAGCAGGGTCCAGGAAAGAGAACAAAGTATGGAAAAGTATGCAAGAACTAAAGAAACCTTTATCAGTGTTTGACTTTACCTTAACCTTCAGGCCCCGGGTCTGACCAGGGTCCTCACTGCCCATCAGATGGACGAGATCCTAAGGTGGTTTGGAATCACACTGAGCACAGATTTCCCGCCCTTTAGACGAGGCACCGCTCCACACCGCTACCGCCTCCTCCCCTCGCCCGGAAGTCCCCAAACGCCGGCTCAGACTCAGACCCGCAGCGCCGGCGGCCTAACTCCCACGCGCACCCGGGCCCCGCCCCCAGGGCCAGGACCCCGCCCCTCCCCAGCGCTATAATTACGGAGCTGAGCGTCGACGATTGGTCTGGAAGCCGGAGGCCTCGTTTCCTAATTGGTCATGGTGTGCGACAGTTTCTCACTGAGCTGACGACCCGGAAGTAGCTCCAGAAGCGGAGGCCGCGTGGATTCACCTCCTGGGGGCTGGGTTTTAGCGGCCGCTGCAATGACCAAAATAAAGGCAGATCCGGACGCGCTGGAGGCCCAGGCGGAGGCGTGCTGCGGGGAGCGCACCTACCACGAGCTGCTGGTCAACCTGAACCCCATCGCGCAGCCCCTGGCTTCTCGCCGCCTCACGCGCAAGCTCTACAAGTGTATCAAGAAAGGTGCGGCGGGCTCCGGGATGGCCGGGGAGGCGCGTGGGGGGCAGGGCGAAGCCCCCGATTGACTCTTCTGTCGTCGCAGCCGTGAAGCAGAAGCAGATTCGGCGCGGGGTGAAGGAGGTTCAGAAATTTGTCAACAAAGGCGAGAAAGGGTAAGAACCCTCCTACCTCCGGATTTTGCATTTCACAGTAAGGAAGGAATCTCTACCATTTAGTAGGTTCTCGGTAAAAGTCAGGTTGACTCTGACCCAGCCCCATATTACAGAAGACAATCAAGCAGTCGGTAAGATCCCTTCAGCACAGATACGGATACATCACTTACACGACGGGCTCAAAGGCAGTTCCACAGGGAAACCAATTGTATAAGCTGGCGCACTTACGGTGGACTCCAGCTTCATTCATTCTGCGACCGTTTATTAAGAGTCTACTCATTTCCGGGCACTGTGTCATGCCAAGACAGCGACATTGATCAGATAATCACACGCACATAATTACAAGTTGTGATAGTTAGCCATGAGAAGCAATAGTAACGACTTCATTACCCTATTTTCTTTCCTTAATGGCATTTATCAGAATCCGAAGCTTATTTACATTTTTATTCCGTGTATCACCCACTCAGGCTAGAGTAAGCTCCTTGGGAACTTGGCTTCTCGGCGCTGCATCCCCAGAAGAGTTTGGTACATATTGTAGATGCTCAAGAGATAAATAATTTTGGGGAGATTTGATGCTCAGTGGAGCCTGACCTAGTTAGGGGGTGCATCAGGCAAAGTTTCCCTGAGCAGTCTCACTGGAACTGGGATCTGAAGACATAGGGATTGGTAAGGGAGTGGGGGGAATCCTGCCAGAAGAGTGGGTGGGCCCCAGGGCAGGAGAGAGGGCAGTGGTGGGCAGAGGAGCTGCCTTCTCATGGAGCCTAACCATGGCAAGTTTAGTTTTTTTTTGAGACAGAGTCTCACTGTGTTGCCCGGGCTAGAGTGCCGTGGCGTCAGCCTAGCTCACAGCAACTTCAAACTCCTGGGCTCAAGCAATCCTACTGTCTCAGCCTCCCGAGTAGCTGGGACTACAGGCATGCGCCACCATGCCCGGCTATTTTTTTCTACATATGTTTTTAGCTGTCCAATTAATTTCTTTCCATTTTTTGGTAGAGACAGGGTCTCGCTCTTGCTCAGGCTAGTCTCGAACTACTGAGCTCAGAATGATCCGCCCGCCTCGGCCTCCCAGAGTGCTAGGATTACAGGTGTGAGCCACCTGCAAGTTTAGTTTTTGTACTCAGAGCTTTGAGAGGCCATTGAGGGTTAAAGCCAGGAAGTGACATAATTATGTTTAAAACTTTAAGATTTGGCAATTGAGGAAAGGATTAGGGAGGCAAGAGTGATTTGGGAAAATTCAGATGGGAGGGCTCTGTAGTATGAAGAGGTGATGGTGGAGAAAGAATTAGCGCAGGTGGATTGAAGAGGATCAGATTCGGAGGATGAGGAGGTACGCATGACTTCTGGCTTCTGGCATGCCTAGACGAGTGGACAGAGGGCCCATTGTGAGGTTGTGAACAGTGGAGGAGGACCACGTTTGTGTGGAAAAATCACAGGTTTGGTTTTCGACTAGTGTTTGAGGTGCCTTGGAGACAAACAACTCCCTGCCCCAGCAGAACTGGCAGATAGGAAGATGGCTATATGGGTTTGGAGCTTGGAAGAGAAGGCAAGGCTGGAGAGCAGATTTGGGAGGTGTCAGCACATGTGGGGCACTTGACACCATGGGGGTGAGCCAGGAAGAAGGTGCTGAGGGACAAGGAAGTCCAGGATCGGCTGTGAGAGCACCAACAGTTTAAAAGCTACTGCAGAAGGGAGCCTGGAGGCTAAAGGAGCACTTGGAGCGAGGAAGCAGCACTTTGACGAGGGTTCTTTGTGTCTTCAGGCTGGTGAGGCCTGCCCTAGAGCCCTGACACCTTGCCAGCCAGGAGCCCTAGGTGAGGCTTCTCTGGCAAGCTTTCACTGGTTCCTTGCCACTGCTGGGACAGAGCCCACACTTCTTAGCCTGGCATTCGAAGCCCTTGGCTGTGTTCCCTGCCAATCTCACCAGCTTTATTGTCTGCCCCCCTCCCTGTCCTGGATTCCAGAGCCAGCCCCTCCACGGGCTGCGTCAGACATTCGTCATCCAGCTTTCGGTTCAAGTGCTGGCTTCCAGTTGAAGCCTTTTTTTGACTCTCCCAGGAGAGCTAAGCTCTTCCTCCTCGGCATCTCTCCCATCCCTCGTCTGTCCCAGCACTGTACCACTTGTCACACTTGGTGGCATTTACATGTTGTCAAGAAACAGATCACACCCCCAGAAGAATACACTCCATCAAACATAATTTTGCGCCCCCTTCAGAGGTTGGCAGACCCACGTTAATAACTGGGATCCCTGAGGGTGGGGACACCCTATTCAAGGCCCGGCCCAGAGGTGGTACTTCCAACTGGAAGAAGGAAGGACAGTGCTAGGAATGACAGTGATGTATCTCATTTCAGGATCATGGTTCTGGCAGGAGACACATTGCCCATTGAGGTGTACTGCCATCTGCCAGTCATGTGTGAGGACCGGAATTTGCCCTATATCTACATCCCCTCTAAGACGGTAAGGAGCACGTGGCCCCAACCTTGGTGGGCACTGGGGAGGGGTCTGGGACATGGGCTGCGGGAGCAGGCCAGTGGGAAAGAACACAAATGCTGGGGTTAAGACAGGTCCACTACTTCCTAGTTGTGGGACTGTATAGAAGTTACCTCTCTACAATTTGGCTTCCTTCTTGTAAATGGGAATCCTCTCCTCTGTAGACTTGAGAATGAAATAGAAGCAGTATGTGAACACACTTTGTAAACTAAGATGCTTCACTTGTGTTAGTCCTGTTAGGTGGTTTTGTGCTCCAGGGACCTGTAGCTGTCCGTATCTTTACATAGCAGGGGCCAGGCCTGGTCACAGGGAGTGGGGGATGGCGGGGACCTGGAGACCATAGGCCTCCTGCTGGGCTGGAGCCCTTTCACAGTGGCCATGTGGAAATGTTAGCCCATTTTTGCTGTGCCATGGCTTGAAAGTTTGCTTGAATTTAAATGCTAGCAACTAATTCAAAATGTTTTTAAATATAATGTGGACCCAAGAGAACGTGGCTGTGAGCCAGATTAGGGTGCTGATGGGTCATCAGTTTGTGACTCCCTGGCACATAGGTTGTGCAGTCTTTTTCTCCAAATAGCCCTTCTTTCCCCTTCTCTGAAGGACCTGGGTGCAGCTGCAGGCTCCAAGCGCCCCACCTGCGTGATAATGGTCAAGCCCCACGAGGAATACCAGGAGGCCTATGATGAGTGCCTGGAGGAAGTGCGGGCCCTGCCTCCACCCCTGTGAAGGACTTGGGCAGCACCCTGGGCACCTGCTCTGGAAGCTGCTGGGCTGGTGGCAAGCCAACTGGCTGCCCTCCTGCCACCCACACTGATGGCTTCTTCCTGGCTCCCTGAGGCACGTCTTCTTCCCAGGCAGCTCCAACAGCTCTTTGATGAAGGTAACGCCAGCGTCTTCTCCATCCGTGCTGTTTCCTGTCAAGCTTAAGTGAACCAGTTCCGAGAATGTGGAGCGGGGAAGTAAATGCTAAGTCTAAAATGTAGTGAGTCCATGGGTGTTTTTTTAAGTAGCAGCTGCTGGTGGGGTCAAGGAGCTGGCGGGCAGGAAGAGTGGAAGCTGGTTTCTCAATGGGAGAACCCAAAGGACTGTGAGTGTTCAGCGCTAATGCTCTGCTGCCCAGGGCCGAGCTTGGGCTCAAGCTGACAACCAATTCTGCTGCTCACCCCAGGGCTTTCAATTCCCCTTGTGGGGGTAGGTGGGGAGTGTGAGATAAGGCAGCAGGGCCCAGACCCACTTCATGGAAGCCTGTAGCCCTCAGGTCAGGGACACCTCCATTCCTTTCTTTTTCTTCCCCCAGGAGCCTTAAATGGCACTGTGAAGCTTACAGAAGCAGTTTACCCACCCATACAGTAAGTTTTAAATAGGAACATGAAGCTAAATATGAGATGGCCCTGATAACCTAATCCCTTCAAACATTTTACACTTGGGGTCCCTTCCTGTTGTCAAAGGCCCCATATGATACTTAGGACTCATAGCAACCAAGGTTCAAGCATCCTGGAATAAACTGGAAAGGGCTTGGGCTTGATCTGGTTTAAATTCCAGGCTCTCTCCTTTCCAAGCTGTGAGCCCTGTTGTGCAAGGCATGTCATCTTCCTAAATCCCTGTATGGATTTCTAATATGTGTATGTAAAAGTACCTTGCCTGGGGTCTGACATCTTTCAAGGTTTCCCCCCAATCAGAGGTGCAACTTAGGTTTTTTTCTGCCTGGGTATTGTTAGCCAGCCACATTCTTACCTGCAGCCACTGCCGGGCCACGCCCAATACCTGTGTGCAGTAGATGTGTAGTAATGATTTGTCAGTGAGGCCAATGGCTGGCTAGGAGAAGTGAGGAGAAGGGCAGTGAATATATTTGCTTGACATTATAAAACAATGGCATTCAGTTCTAACTTTGACTATTTACAATGGGAAATGGATACATACAGTTGGGGCTGTACAGGGGAGGAGGTGGCCACAGCTGGACACCCTCGGGCTGAGGGCAAGAATGGACAAGTGTTGGCATGGCAGTAAGAGACATGGCTGAGGGCAGGGATGGAAAGATGTCTGCTGCTGAAGGCCAAGTCCTTTGCTACTCTGTTGGTTCCTGCTAAGTCAAGGGAAATATAAACAGGAAGAGACAGAGCAGGAGCACAGAGGCCAGCATTTTCCTTTCCTTACAGCCAAGGAGCCAACTGCCAGGTGTGGGCTGGTTCATCTCTCTCCTCAGGCTCTGCCAAAGGGCTGCTCTGGCTCTCCCATGGTAGCACTTCTCAGCCAAGTGCTCTGAAATAAACTAGAGTCCATTGGAGCCACCCACCCTACTGAGACAGACCAAGGCTCATGGACGAAAAACCCCTTTTAACAAAGTTCCAGGCAGGAATCAGAATATGATGCGTTTCCCATCTGCTGGGTTTTGCTCCATGGGACAGTAGGGACACTTCAGCCTGCAAAGGGAGGAGAACCAAGAACATCTCAGGGCTGGCAGCAGGAGAGCCCAGCCAAGATGCAGCAGAGCATATGGAACTTACTTTCCTCCGTTAATGAGCTTGTTTAGTGCATCTCTGGAGATAACATGGCCGCAGATGAGCTTGATGGGAGGATTGGAGTCCGACGTCTGCTGGCGGAGGATGGGGCAAGCAAACACAGAGTGGTACCAGCACTTCATGCCTAGTTCAATCTCAATCTGGGAGGCCGGCAAAGGGGTCAGTTCCACTTCGTGTCATGGCTGTCCTCCCCAGTGCCTCTGGCCCACACTTCCCCGCCAGGCCTTACCGGTAACTCATCCTTGTGACTCCAGACCCCGGTGCACTGCCTCTGCTCAATCACAGCTTTGATGTTCATCAGCACGGGCAGTGCCACACAGCCAGAGGCAAAACTGCAGAACAAAGAACAGGGGCTGGAATGGCTCCCATCACAGCACGGGACTTGAGATGGGGTTCTTATGTGGCACAAGGTGAAATCGGTCCTCGAAAATCCCTCGGATTGTTCATGAGGTGCCATGTGTGTATGTCCAACTCTAGAGGGTCATTCTAATGTACTCCTAAATTGGAGAGCTTATGGGAAAGACAAAGATACCTGCTCATCCAAACTACTGAAAAGTCCTGGGTGTGACTGGGAGACAGTGATCAGTTCTAAAGGGCTCCAGCCCACCTGCAGGATCTACCCTGCTCTGTTGTCATAATATACCTCTATAACAGTGGCTGTCAGCTACGACACTTCAAAATGGGGGAGGGCTGGGCATGGTGGCTCATGTCTGTAATCCCAGCACTTTGGGAGACTGAGGTGGGAACAACAGAGTGAGATCCTGTTTCAAACAACAACAACAAAAAAAAAACCTAATTGATCACAACCAGTTACAGATTCCTTTGTTCCTTCTCCACTCCCACTGCTTCACTTGACCGGCCTTTATATATATATGTATGTGTGTGTATAAATAAATGAATGGATGGATGGATGGAAGGTCAGTTCCCATGAGGGTGGGGAGCCTACTGGCCAGAACCCCGGATGCTAAATAGTCTGCAGTGCACAGGGCAGTCCTGCACAGCAGAACCATCTGTCTAAAGTGCTGATGGTGTTCTTGCTGAGAAATACCATTCCATAATTTGGTGACAAATTAGATACGATTGAAGTTAGTCCATCATATTGGGGTGGAATGTGAGACTCCATAACCAGTCTAAGTAAAATGCACTGTGACTGCTGTTCACTGTGGCAGAGTGTGTGGCTTTGGGGTCAGGTCCAAGTGCCCTTTATTCCCGAGGTCCAAGGCAAGTGAGTTCACATCCTGAACCTCCACTGTCTCTTCTATAAAATGAGGATAACAGTACCTCTGACTCCCAGGGGTGCTGTGAAGCTGTTAGAGACTATTCCTGTGAGGGAGACGGCCAAGCAATAGAGCTAAATCCATGGTACGCAGCCACACACGTCTCCCCTGAAAGGAAGTGGCATTTGAGAGAAAAGCCTGGGAGAAGGTAGACTGCAGAGGGACATGGGTTAGTTGGGAAGGTCTTGAAAGGATCTGGGATGACATATAGGAGAGGCAGGGACCTCATTAAAGAGACCTTACAAAATGGCAACCTTGGCCCTGCCACTGACTGCATGGTGACCTCGGTCTACAACTCTTCCTAATTGTAGTTTCTTTAACTGTAGAAACAGGTACTTCTGGCCGAGCGCAGTGGCTCACACCTGTAATCCTGGCACTCTGGGAGGCCGAGGCAGGAGAATCACTTGAGCTCAGGAGTTCAAGACCAGCCTGAGAAAGAGCGAGACCCCGTCTCTACTCCAAATACAACAAATTAGCTGGCCATGGTGGCACACGCCTGTAGTCCCAGCTATTCGGGAGGCTGCGACAGGCGGATCGCTCGAGCCCAGGAGTTTGAGGTTGCTGTGAGCTGGGCTGGCACCACGGCACTCACTCTAGCCTGGGCAACAGAGCAAGACTCTGTCTCAAAAAAAGAAAAAAGAAACAGGTACTTCTTCTTCCTCTCTTGAAGAATAGCTAACGAAGCCAGTTTAGGTCTGTGAAAGCACTGAGCACGTCCCTGGCACGTGGCAGGGCCTTGGCAACATGATGTTTCCCTCTCTACCCTCCCACCGAGCTGTCCGCATGGGGCTGGGTTGTACCTGACACTGAGCGGGGATTCCACAGAAAGCCCCAGCAGGGAACATGCATCCCGGGTAAAGGTCTCACAGATCTCTGCCCAGTGGCTGTTGTCCAGGAGGTGGCAGTAGGGTGACTTCTCTAAGCCCAGCCGCAGGTACACCAGACTGCCCATCATCACCTGGATCTCTACAAGGCAACCGGGTGGCAGCTCAGGGGGTGCAGGGGCTCTGGGTCCGTCCCTCAGGGGGCAGCAGGACTGTAAAGCACAATATTGTGAGCCAGGCCAAGCCCCAGGCTCCCAGGCCCCTGGCCACATGGAGCAGGGATTGAAATGCCCTCAGGCAAAACTGACTCTGTCTAAAATCCAGTGGGGAGGTAGAGTCTCCAGGCTGCTTCTGTAGAACAAGGATAGGCATTACCAACACAGAACTGGGTAGGAAGGTGAGTCTTTTTCTGTTTTCTTTGCATCCTTCCAACTGCATCAAGGAGCAAGTGAGAAAGGCTAGTGCTAACGTCTTCCTATTCCCCACACTAGCTAATCTCCCCTTCAGAGTAGATCCCAGGTTCAGAGCTTTCAGGATGCAGCAGTATCTAGTGAAACCTTAAAAACACTGCTTGGTTTTCATATTTATTTTTAAATAAAGCTAGAACAAGAAAGAATATGGGTTACTACTGGTGAACATCTTGAGGGTGAGGCTCGAATTACAGGTGTGGAAATCGTAGTGTGAAGGCAAAGGGCCAAGGAAGGATGCTCCAGAGGAGGTGCCCAGGTGAGTCTTAAAATGAGCAGGACTCTCCCCAGTGGAGGGAGGCATGTTCGAGGCAGAGCAGCGTGAGTGGGCATGGCATGTTTGAGTGTGGTGTGGCACACAGCAGGCGCTGGGGACCCACGGTGGTCTGAGGTGGAGCTAAAAACATACAGCCGAGATGAAAGAGGAAGAGCCTTGAGTTTGGTGGCACTTGGGACACAATGTGGGATCACAGAGGTTTTCAGGTTGGGGAGAGGTGTCAGAGCAACAGCCCCCCCATGGGCACAGGGACCGGCAACCTGATGTAACCTGCCACATCCAGACATCTGCCTGGCCAACCAGCACCAAGCCTGGCACCCCGGGCACTCACCCCGTTGGTGCAGCCGAGCAAAGGGCTGAAAGTGCCGGGCATAGCTGAGAGCCTCCAGCTGCTTCTCAGGGCCACTTGCTAGGAGGCGGATGAAGTGCAGTCGGTGCAGCTTGAACTCCAGGGAGCTGTTGAGTTCCAGCAGGCGCTGTCTGTGGGAGACAGCCCATCTGGGAAGAAAAGGGCCAGTTTAGTTGGAGCTAGTGGGGGCTAGAGGAGGACCCCCAAAGCCTGTATGAGGCCCTAGGGTCAGGGCTGGAGGCATGTCAAGTATGTCTGGGGGAACTGAAGACCACAGACAAGCCCTGTGCACTGGGAGGTGAGAGCAGAGCACTGCTGGCCCACCTAAGGGCCTGCTTACTCCAATGCAGGCCTCAGGTCTTGTTCATGCAGAGCTTCCACGATTCGATTCAATTCCAGGAAAGGCTGCTTGAAATCCAGGTCCACATTCAGTGTTGATTCCTGTAAGGAAAGAGAGAGAGATCTCACCACTGGAAGACAGTGGTCCTAAAATTCTGTTACGAGCATGATAAGACCTCACCCGCTAAAGATAGGCTGGAGAGTGCCCGGCTCTGCGTGAGGAGCTGTGGTCTCCTGCCAGCCACTTGGCCCCTCTCATTCCCATCTCAGTTCCCCAGAGTGCGGACTGCAAACACCACCCCACCACAGCGCACTGGAGACAGTCCCCAGGCTCCGCACTGAGTGGCACAGTGAGAGAATTATTCCTTCTCAGTACTCCTAATTACATTAAGGAAAGGCTCCTTCACTGCTACCGCCAGTGTGTCTTTAATATCTAACAAGTGCCACTTTGTCTTTTCACTAATCTCCCTTTTTAGTAAAGGCGTATAAGGCCTCAGCTCAGAACCCTGGCTGGCAACCACCTCTAACTAGAAATGAGTAACTTCACTTTTCATCATGTATGTTTTTAGAGCTACCTTTTATTTATGGCAGGGGCACTGATTTCCTTTCTAAAATAAATTTATTTAAAGAATGGCAGGGACTTAGTATTAAAAAACTATCAGATAAAAAGCAGAGCGGGCAGGTCCTCCTGTGCCCTCCCTGCCTGGCCCGTACCTGGCACAGCTCCTCGGCAACGCCGAGCATGCCCTGCTGGTACAGGTGTTCCACAATGGCCATCTGCAGGATCTGCTGCTGCTTCTCCCGAGAGTCCCACACTGCGTCCGAGACTACACCGCAAATCTCAGAGTCAAAGTTCTGGCAAGGAGGAGAGACAGGGCCCTGTGACTCAGGAACCCTCACATGCTCTCCTGCTGAGTCTTTGTGCATGCCACTCCAAGGTACTCCCACCCACAGGCTTGGGTTTGTCCGCGCGCTCACCCTATCAATGGCTTTGCCCACTCGGGACACGCTGCTGTGAATGTCCTTGTGGTCCGAAGCCAGTTTCTGCACTGTGTCTTTGATCTTCCGGCAGCACTGTGACATCACCAGAGAGAGGGTGGCTGAGAGAGGGGCCCCCTGGAGGGCTGCAGAGAAACAGCGGGATGAGTGAGGACACAGAGGAGGCAGACCCAGGCACCTGCTTTGGCAGCAGACCCGTGTCTGCTTTCTCTATGCTGAATGACAGCCTGGCAGCCCTCAACTCTGGAGTAAAATAATTAGCTTATATTCCAGGTCCTGCCACTTTGTAATTGCATGACGTGGAATCGGTCAAGTGGGACAAGCCCTCTTACCTCTTAGAGCCTTCATTTCCTCATCTGTAAAATTGTAGGTTGCTATGAAATGAAGATGATTTGGCACTTACTGTGGTTAAGTATTTTAGCTCATGTACTAAATCATACATAGAATTCTGTGTGTTTACCTGTCCAGTTACCATATGACCCAGCAACTCCACTCCTAGGCATATACCCAAGAGAAATGAAAACACATGTCCACACAAAAACTTGCGTGTGCATATTCATGGCAGCATTATTCATAATAGCCAAAAGGTGGAAACAACTCAAATGTCTATCAACTAATGGATAAACAAAATGTGGTACATCCATACAATGGAACATTATTCAGCCATAGAAAGCAATGAAGTACTGATTCATTTATCATGGGTGAACCACAGAAACGTGTAATGAAAGGAGCCAGACACAAAGGCCACATATTGTATACTGCATTTACATGCAGTGTCCAGGATAAGCAAATCTACAGAGACAGAGGAGATTAGTGGTTGTCAGGGGCTGGGAGAGAGAGGACTGAGAGACTGTCAATTGGTTGGGTTTCTTTTGGGGGTGATGGAAATGTTCTGAAATTAGGTAGTGGTAATGATTCTGCAACTCTGTAAATATACTAAAAACCACCGAATTATACTTTAAAAGGGTGAGCTTGGCCGGGCGCGGTGGCTC